TGTATCCGTTGGGCCTGGTGGGCCTCCTCCTCTCTCCTTCCTTGTCGTATTCCCTCCCCTACCCGACTTGGGCCATGGGCCGCGTGTGGCCCAGCCCCCTCCTAGCCTGCCCTCCCTGCATCCAATGCCGACGTGCGACGACTGCGCTTCCCCATTCACACTTTCCTCAGATCCACTCCTCCTCCTCCCCTTTCCCTCTTGTTTGCGGCCGTCCTCTCCATGAATAAGTCGCGGGGTTCCTCCAGTGGGCGGTCTCTGGCCACAAGTGCCGGTGTGAGGGCTTGGCAAAGGCGGGCGCGGATCTGGAGTACAAGGCAATGCTTCGGTCCAAGCTCGAGGCGGAGCAGGCGGCTCGCGGGCAGGTGGCTCGAGAGCGTGATGCCTGGGCTGTCGGACCAGAGGGACTACAGCGCGATGAGCAGGCCCGCGCGGAGGCGGCCATGGGAGAGGGTGTTGGCTCCGCGGTCCCCGGCTCTGGTGGTGGTGTGATCTCGGATCTGGCTGGTGGTTCGTCGATGCAGTCCGCGGATCCCTGGGAGGTGGCGGCTGAAAGGATCGATATAGTTGACTAGAGGGGGAGGGGTGAATAGGCAACTAACAATTTTTAGCTTTTCTTTACTAAATTAAACTTTGCATCAAAGTAGGTTGTCTAGATATGCAACTAGGTGAGCAACCTATATGATGCAACAACAACAAGTACACTAGCAAGCAAGGGATACAACACAAATAAGCTTGCACAAGTAAAAGCACGAGATAACCAAGAGTGGAGCCGGTGAAGACGAGGATGTGTTACCGAAGTTCCTTCCTTTTGAGGGGAAGTACGTCTCTGTTAGAGCGGTGTGGAGGCACAATGCTCCCCAAGAAGCCACTAGGGCCACCGTATTCTCCTCACGCCCTCACACAATGCGAGATGCCGTGATTCCACTATTGGTGCCCTTGAAGGCGGCGACCGAACCTTTACAAACAAGGTTGGGGCAATCTCCACAACTTAATTGGAGGCTCCCAACGACACCACGAAGCTTCACCACAATGGACTATGGCTCCGCGGTGACCTCAACCGTCTAGGGTGCTCAAACACCAAAGAGTAACAAGATCCGCTAGGGATTAGTGGGGGGAATCAAATTTCTCTTGGTGGAAGTGTAGATCGGGGCCTTCTCAACCAATCCCGAGCAAATCAAAAAGTTTGATTGGCTAGGGAGAGAGATCGGGCGAAAATGGAGCTTGGAGCAACAATGGAGCTTTGGGGGAAGAGGTGAGTCAACTTTGGAGAAGAAGACCCACTTTTATAGTGGGGGGGAACAATCCAACCGTTACCCCACAGAACAACACCACAGAGGGCGGTACTACCGCAGGGGGCAGCGGTACTACCGCTAGCCCCAGCGGGTACTACCGCTCCCCCTCACGGTACTGCCGTGCAGCCAGGGAGGACAAGCAGATGGGCAGGGGATGGACCCAGATCGGTACTGCCGCGGTGGTAGGGCGGTACTACCGCTCTCGAGCGGTACTACCGCTTCTACTGCCGCTGCTTAGTGCCGCACAATCCGACACGAGGGGCGACCCCCTCGAGCCGACATGGTAGGCGCCCGGTACCGCAGCGGTACTACGGCTGAGGACCCACAGGCGGTACTACCGCTGCAGAGCGGTACTGCCGCCTGTGGATCTTGAGCGGTACTACCGCTGCGCACCACGGTACTACCGCTGGGACCAAGCTAAAACCCATAGAAGGGGAAGAAAGCCTCCATCGAAGCGGGAAGGCTCAGTGGGTGCAAAACGGATGTGTACGTGTTGATTCCACCCTAGCCTTACCAACAACGGATCCCCTCTTGATAGTACGGTGACTCCTACGAAACATGTCCACCAAAACACAAACGAAAGAGCTACACCGTCTTGATTAAAACTCCGAGGGGAAGGAATCATCTCGTGCCAAAGGATAGATCTCTGAAATGCTCAAAGCACGCGATTAGTCCGCAAACATGTTGTCATTAATCACCAAAACTACATCGAGAGAGATATGCCTTAACAATCTCCCCCTTTTTGGTGGATTGATGACAACAAGGGATTTGCACAAGGATAGAACAAGAATAAAGAAATACTTAGAACTACAAAATATAGACAGGCTCCCCCTGAATGTGTGCACCTAATTAGTAGTGCCTCTGGAATGCAAAGCACACACATTAGGATCAACACTCCCCCTATCTTTTATAGTCCAACAACCTAAGCATATGGGTACGTGTGAGCAGGGTATATAACAGAATAAGCATGCAACTCACAAATTACCAAAGTACTTGATGGACATAGATAAAAAAGGATAAGGTAGCATATGTCTCACACCATATGACTGGAACTAGGTCTCACAGGCACAAAACCAAACAAGCAAACGACAAGAGAAAGCAACGACACAACAGACCACAAAGACACACACACTCGCAACTCGATAACGACACAAATCCATATACTCTCTCCCCCTTTGGCATCGAGACACAAAAAAGGCAAAGAGCATTGCTACGGCTCCAGGTGATAGCGAACTGAGGATCTCGAACATCATATCCTAGCAGGATCGTCTGCATCGCCGTCTTTGGTCAGAAACTGCTCGGCATCTGAATCGGTCCACTGGCAGTGCTCCTGAACCCGCTCCTCCTCATCAGTGATCCTGCCCTCAGACCCACTGTTAACAGTTGCACCCAACTGATGCATGAGCTCCTTGTG